CGGATATCTCTTGTGTGCTAGTTTTTGCTTTTTTGTGTTTTTGATGCAAGTGTAGAAAATAGTTTTGTATTACATATACATATACACATACACACATACACATACATACATGTAGAGAAAAATTAAAATTTTTTTACAGAAAACTCAGAAAGCACAGAAAGAGCACAAAAGAAATTAATCTCTGTTCATTCAAATAGTTAGCCACGATGAACATTCATTCTGTGACCTTCTAATGTTTTGTAATGCCTATATAAACATATTTATTGTCAAAATAATAATCTGCATATATTGTTATGATACTTTTTTTTCATTTAACAATGTATCATGAACATTTTCCCATGCTAATATATATCCTTCTACTACACAGTTTGGGGGAGCAACTCGATAGCCATCATCTAAATGTGCTATCACTTAATTAACCTGTTCTTTCACATTTTGTTAATTTCCAACTTTTGCAAATGATTTTCATGTATGACTTAATGTTGTCGGTATTGAAAATCCCAAAAAGGGGGGTTATGAATTAGGTCTTTGGTGTTAATATCTATGTGAAGGATAACTTTGGGATCATTTCACTCAAATTATTATAGAATTTTAGTATCTTAACAAAAGAGACTTTAGTATTTCTCTGGAGTAGCCTCTGACAGGCCAAATCTCTTCTGTGGCCTTCCTGGCAGTCGAGCCAGCCTCTGCTCAGATACGTCCAGGAGTAGCTGCTACTCACACCCAAAGACCACAGCCCTCTGCTCCTCTATGTGTGACCTGACTTTTTATGTTCCTGTATTGGGCATAAGGAACTAGATTCTGACACAAGTAGATTTTGAAAAGTTGCTTCCGAAATCTTTAGAAGCACTGTACTTGAAGATCAGCATGATTTGAGAATCTGGGAAGGAAGTTAGAAGCAGGATGGTGGGCAAGATAGTGGAGAATGCTGGCTTAGCTAGTAGAAACCAAATCATTATTGCGGACAGCCAGACCCTGTTCCCTGATTTGCAAGCTATAGTTATTCTAATTGATTTCTGCATACTTGTGGATAGGGATCTGCCCTCTTTCATTTATTTTTCTCTTGACAAGTAAGATGTGAAATGTTGTTCCATGCCTTTCTAATTTAAATGTTGCACATGTTGAGAACTGATCTTGCCAGCCATTTTAAGCCTGGCCAAAAACATAACACATTGTTGTTATTAGCCTTCATCATTTGGTTAGCACCAACATTTTGTTTGGAACTATAAAGGAGTATAAAGCTACTTTATAGGCATAACCCATTTCTGCCATAAAATAGATAAGATGAAGGCAGAGTTAAGTTTCCTTGGTGAGTTGCTTTGGTGAAGCTGATTAGGCCACGGGTGTTCATTTTGAGAGACTTCTTGGGAAGTAAGATTTCAATTTAATTCAATTTTTTAAAAATATTACCTTAATGTGCAAGGCTCTATGAGAGGTGCAGGAGGGGAAATTAAGATGGAGATGACAAGGTTCATGCTCTTGAGCAGGGGTCCTCAAACTTTTTAAACAGGAGGCCAGTTCACTGTCCCTCAGACCGTTGGAGAGTGCACACTGTGGGCCCAGGACAAGTCGCTGCTAAGCAGGACAGGCAGCAGCAGCAAAATCACCCAGAGGGCCGTCCGCGGGCCATAGTTTGAGGACGCCTGCTCTTGAGGGTTTTGATTCGTCTGAGAAGAAAGACGTGTGGATAACTAAAAGAAGAGTGTATGTGAAAAGTATACATACACAGGGATTGGAGGAAACATAGAGGAGAAATGGAGCATTATCTCATGGCCTGCGTTTGGAACTGGTAGCAATGACCTTAAACCCATGTGCATCAATTCAGCCTGCAGGCTGAATAAGCCATCTGTTTCACACACTTGTACTGCTGTTTTTGACAGCTATGTGGATGCCCTGGTAGCCAATATGTGATTTTTTTTGTTTGTTTTTGTTTTTGGTTTTGATTTTGTTTTTTTTTTTTTTTTTTTTTTTTTTTTTGAGACAGGGTCTCACTCTGTTGCCCAGTCTGAAGCACTCACTGCAACCTCAAAATCCTGGGATCAAGCGATACTCCTGCCTCATCCTTCCAAGTACCTGGGACTACAGGCATGAGCCACCATGCCCAGCTAAATTTTCTAATTTTTGTAGAGATAGGGTCTCACTGTTGCTCAGGCTACTCTCAAACTCTTGGCCTCAAGGAGTCCTCCTGCCTCGGCCTCCCAAAGTGCTAGGATTACAGATATGAGCTATAGCACTTGGCCAAATTTTTTAATGTTAAAAATTAGCCCGTTATTTGAAGATCAGAAACCATTGTCTACAGCAATCAGTGACTACACTGACTATCCAAAAGAACTTTCTGTAATAATGGAAATGTCCCCTGCATTATCCCATGCAGTTGGTATTAGCCACATGCAGCTCCTGAGGACTTGAAAATGGCTAGTGAGACTGAGGAACTGGATTTTAGTTTTATTTGATTTTAATTAATTTAAGTGTAAATAGCCATGTGTGGTTGAAGCTACTGTATGGAACATGGACAGCACAGATCTATAGTATCCCCTTGGCAGTAATTTTCTGAATGCCACCCCCATTGCCAGGTTGCCTCTGCCCTACTTCCTCTGAGTTTTTTTTTTTCTATCCACAAATGTGCATAACTACCAGGCCCACGTCTTCTCAGGTGCCCCTAATCCTAAAGGTTCTTTAGGCCAAGAGAAGAGTTCTTTCATAGATGCTTAATGAAATGATTTTGAAAGCCTTCCTAATCATAGAAATAAAAGGAATGGTAATTTACACTTTTCTTTTGGCCACCATCTAATAATTCTCAGGTGCCTTAAAGAGATTTCTGTATACATGGAACACATTAGTTAGTTATTTTCATATTTAGTTTCTTTCAAAGTTTATATAGCATGATCCTTCAAAAAGTTGGCTATGATAGGCAGGATGGCTAAGAATAATTATTAGAAACTCAGATCAAAATCTTATTCTAGGGCTTTCACTAGGCAAGAAATTTCTCTTCTTTATTTTCCTGGTGGTTATTAAGGGTAATCAAATGATCCTTCCTTCTCTAAATTACTCCGAAACAGTTAATACTGTTCATAGCGCTTACACTTACATGTTACACATCTTTCTCATGACTCATGGTCATGAGAGCCTCGAGGTCTTTTAAGACTCTCACTGGCAGTAGCAGTGTACCTTATAATGGCTTATGTTAAGGTAACAAAATCCCGAGAAGATAACCAGGTATCTCTGAACATAAAATCAACCTTTTATATTTATATCATGGTTGATATTGATTATGAACATAGTGCTAGTTGGATTGTCAGGTAATTCTCTTTGTTACTTTTTCCAAAATATTTCGGCCCTATGCTGTTTTAATTCAAGATGTAGGAGGAGAGCAGTGGCTTATAGCACCCAAAAACACATGTGGCCAAAAAGTTCTTTTGGAACTCATACTTGAGGAGTTCCCAGCAAAATAATAAACATCTTTCGTGGATCAGCCTGGAAAGAGGTCCTTCTGTTGAGCTCTTTCTATCGAGGAGGGCTTTCTATCTTACCTTCCCCCCAAAAGTGATGACCATATCACTGTTCTGCTGCTCTCTGGGTATCATTCTCTCAATTCCCTACTCTTTCTGCTTTGAGGCCAGAGGCTTGGATGCTTCTTCAAATATCAGAGCCAGAGTGAATAAAGTTTCAGTTGCTGAGCCAAGATGCCCAAATCTGTCCTCCCAGCTCCTCCTGGGTGTACGCGGTGTGCCAGCAGGGGAGGGGGCGAAAAGGCAACTTAGTGATGGCTGAGGGATATAAATCCTCAGCTAGGTGAAGATGAAACATTGATGGTTGTGTCATGGTCTCCACTGTGTAAATCAGGGCTCTTTCACCCTTTACCTTCTTTCAGAAATTTCCACAGACAGAAAAATCCACAGGCAATTATTTCTGACATTAAAATTTTGGAACATCTCTTCTAATAGCACTTTGCTGTGTTCATCTATCTTAATTAAACACATCCCTCCATTGTCTGGTAATCTCCATTTTAAAAGAGATGCTTGAGCTGTTGTTAAGGTCTTCTTTGGTGGTGGTGGTGTGTGTGTGTGTGTGCATACATGTGTGTGCGTGTATGTGTGTGTGTGCATATATGTGTGTGTGTGTATGTGTGTCTGTGTCTGTGTGTGTTGGGTAGATCAGGGAGGGGAGATAATGAGGAGTGGAGCACAGGAATAATGCCAGCCAGCATAGAGACATTAATATTTGCAAATATAAAATACCCTTCTAAATTTGCCTCCCTTTCTATTCTGTAGAAAGAATAAAAATGGAAATGTAGTATTTTCTCAGTCCCCAGGAAGAATATCCATTCTTGCCCTGCACTCCCACCTCCTTTTTATTAATAGAATATAGGAATGAAGAGGCACAAGCTGGGAACCCCCCACCCCAAGTCTTTGGAAAAGGAACACTACAGTTTGGGTCCATACCGGCCCCCTTCTCCCTCCCTAGTGTCCTCCTATGCTTGGGCTGCCACCCTTCCTCCCCATAACATCTGAGCAGCTGTTGGTGGCTCTTTTCACAGGATGAGCTCCTTCTCCTTGACAGATCTGTATAGAAGAAAGTAAGGGCAGTGCTACTCAATCTCAAGGCTCTCTGGAGTGCAGTTGGTTTAGCCATGTAACTTTCTAACCTTCATGTGTCCATTTTATATATTTTCATTCTGGTTCCAAAATTATACCAAATTATTATGTCTTCTATATTTTCCTTTATGCTGTTTCAGTCTAAAGATATTTCTTTGATTAGAGTATCTTAGCCTGAAAGCCTCTGATCTTTACTGAAGGAAATGAGTACAAGGCTAACCATCTGTCAGCAAACTTTGGATTGCTGAATGTTTTAGTAATTGCCTTCAAATGTAGTAATGAGGTTGCAGGTTTGATGAAATGCTTATAAATGGTGGCTTTAGGGAAATCAACCTCTCTATTTTCAATATTGAATTCCAAATTACTATGTATTAACACATCTGTCTCCTGCCTTTTTTATTTCAGTACCTACTAGAAATGAAAAGCTTAATCCTACCCCCAGAACACATCCTGAAGAGAGGAGACAGTGAAGCAATAGCATATGCCTTCTTTCATCTTGCGCACTGGAAGAGAGTGGAGGGGGCTTTGAATCTTTTGCATTGTACATGGGAAGGCAGTAAGTAATTTTCTTTCTTTGGAACATTTTTTAAGACCATGAAAAGGTGCTAACACTCTTTTTGCCCTGAGCGTTCATGATGAATAATGAAGATTTACATATTTATAGCTCTTGTTGTCTGTGATGGCCCTGAACTAACACAAGATGGTTAATGACTTAGGCTCTCTCATTTCCCCATTTCCTCATGGGTAGTACTGTGGGTCTCCACAGCTCAGAAAGGCTAGTTTGCACAGCAGGTGGGTGAATCTGGATTGTTCTGGCAGAGGAGCACTCCACCACCCTAAAATCCCTCTTTGAGACTTGGACGGCCCCTCCACATCATGATAATCTTTTGCATGGGGCTAGGCCTCTTGCTGGACTCTGATTACCACGTTTTTGTGGCCTTTATGGGAGGGCTGGCTAAGAGCCACACTTACCCCCCACTAGAGCTAAGTTAGCCACACACAAAGTCGTGGCAGTTACATTTCAAAACAAAGGCAGTGGCCATTGGACCCCGGTGTTTAGTAGGAGGTGTAGCATCTGTGTGTTAATGGATAAATGCCTGGTAGATAGATGGAGGGGTAAATATTACTAAATCTGAGTACGTGCTCTCTATAGATATTATCATTCTGTGTAAGGAGAAGACGCTTTCATGGCAGATGAAACTTGTTCCCTGCCTTGGAGAAGCATGTCATCTAGCAGCATGTGGCAGCTGCCTAGTGACTTTTCAGAAGGGAGAGGTCATGGGGTGGAGGGATCATGGGTACCTTACGAGTCAGATGAGAGGTGGACCATGCCTTGAGGAACTAGGACAGTATCATAAGCAACAGCACTGTGTTAAGAAATGGTAAAAGGTGGGGCTGTTTGGGGAAATGTAAATTAAGGGAAAAAAGCCTAAGACTAGGGATTATTGGATAACATGTGCATTGACACTCTGCTAGCTTTAATTGAAGCAAAACAAGTACAACATGTAACATGGAGTTTTTTTTTCCTCTCTCCTGAGGAAACAAAACAATAAATATTAACGTTTTCTGATAATTTTTTCCTAGTTCACCCCTACTCTGATCAGCCTTACAAACAAGTGTCTTCAATCCTTTCACTCTGTTTATCTTTGCTGCTTCCATTTTCATTTTGATAATCTTCTGCTCCTCCCTTTTCCTGCCCTTCCCTAACCCAGCAGGAATCCAAGTTGGTACAGGAAGGGAGGTAGGGGGAGCAAAGTGGGATGGGGTGAAAATAAGCCGACAGAGATGGTGCTTAAAGTTGACTGAAAGGTTCCTGTTTAGTTTTGAAAGTATTTCTTCAGAACATTAATAGTGGCTCTACTTACATAATTTACTGTTTATAACTGGAAGCATGTTGATTTGATTGATGCTTCTACCCTGCTCGGTCAGTGTAATGACATACTCCTGGTGGCCGGCCAGGGGCGGGGAACCTGCAGCCTCAAGGCCACATGTGGCCCTCCAGATCCCCGAGTGCGGCCCCTCAGCTGAATCCAAACTTCACAGAACAATTTGTTCCGTAAAACTTGGATTCAGTCAAAAGGCCACACTGAAGGATCTGGAAGGCCACACGTGGCCCCAAGGCCACAGGTTCCCCACCCCACTCGCGCCACTCTCCCTACCGCTGCGTGTGGGCCTGTGCACAGTTCCCTTTGGCTCGGGCTTACTATAGCGGCTTACTATAGCACGTAAGGTTTCTATCTTGAAGGGATAAAAGAAAGTTTTGTTTAAGCATGAGAAAGAGGCAGAACAGCCCAGCAGGACTGAACATGAAAGGCCTCAACTAGTATTTGTTGTGGAGAAATTAAATGGGCAAATCGGCTTACCAAATAAGAATGTATTTGTAAACATGGCATCTTGCAAATAATAACAGAAGAAGCTTATCAATTAGATCCAATTAATAAGAAAGTTGCCAATCCTATGGGAAGAAACAAAAAAGGGGCAGGGCAAGGGGTGATCAAGACATGGTGTTAGGAATGGCACCACCATAAAAAAAAGTTAGAATCCTATGAGGAGCAACTGGAAATTCTGTTTGGAAAGTAGTTATCCATGTAATCAGATGACAATGGGGAGGTGCTCTGCTCAGCTGGAACTTCAAGGAAATGAGAGAGATGTTAAGTGGCATAGGGAGCTGCAAAATCAAGCAGGGAAGCAGTATGAGGGAAGTTAATTTCCTCAAATTAGATCAGCAGAATGCTTCACTTTTTCTTTGCTACACTGAGTAGATCAAGGATACGAGGATCAGTGATCTCCAAAACATTTTCTTGGAAGCCCACGACTTAAATTTATATCACTTTTTACAGGCCAGGGTATACTTACTACACCTGGTCTCTTCCTAGTGATTAGAAAGTTCATCATCCTATGCAAAATTATATTTTGTTGTTTAACATTGACTTAAACATTTTAAATATAGAAAAAGACCAATTTTATAAAATAATATATACTTATAAAAAAAAGGAAAGAGACTAGAAATAAGTATACTTGTTTTAAGTGGTTACTACTGAGTTGTGGATTTTAAGTGATTCCTTTTTTGAATTCATATTTGTATTTTTCAAATTTTCTGCCACAAGCATATATATTTTCTACAAGCATAAATATTTATGTGTATGTGCATGTGTGTGTGTGTATATATATACATACACACACATATATACACACACACATATATGTCTATATACATACATAGAAAAAAATAATCTTTCATTACAACTGCTTTTGGTTCTTTTTAAAAACAAAGCTATAAATCTGCCATGCAATTTAGAAGAAAGAATTACCACTCCAACCCCAGACAATTGTATGTACTCTTTTGACATCACTTCTAGATCTGTGTCCAGTCTAAGTTAAACTAAATGGAGTTTCAGAGCTCTAGATTTTAAATCAGAGGACTTGGATTAGAACTCTGGACTCAGCTTCTTATGGTAGCATTCACTTAACTTACCTAGTTTTGAGAAACTGTGAAGCACAGATGATATTGAGTGCCATACCCCGCCCACCCCACGTGTGGCTCCAGGGCAGTTGCCACAGCTCCCCTCAGGTCAGCTGGCCCTGCCTGGGCTGCCTGTGCCCGAGCAGAGGAGGCTGCACTTCCCCCCACACACCACTTGGTGGTGCCTCTTGACATCTCCAGCCTTAGAGTTTAGGTTTTCTTTGAATCAGTTTTTTCTTCATTCTGAAATTTAAGGCCATTCCCCAACTCCCTTCCAACTTCTTTTTCATTAGAAAAAGAATTCAGGGAGAAAGGTAACAGTGCCTAATTTCACCAGGTTCCATGTTAAAAATGATTATTAGTTAATTTATCTTTTGAAGATTAAAAAAACATTATTAGTTCTGTCAAAAGTATTGGTTGTGGGTAGGAGTGGAGGTGTATTTTGTTTTGCTTTTAAATGAATTTATTATGTTGGAACATTAGTCATCTTTAATTAGTAGAATTAAGTGAGTTTTCTACCAATCAAGCTAGGAAAAACTCCCATTCTTGATAAAACCCCAAGTCCAGCTGATGCATGGAAGATTTTGTTTGGGTTTGAAACATATGGTGGCTTAAGAAAAAAACCCTGAATCGTCAACCACAAATACATCAGCATTTCAAAGGTTTCCAAAATGTTTGATTCATCACTGTCCCAGCCCCTGAAATTACACATTATGTTCCTCAATGTCAAGACAATTAAGAAAGGGCAAAAGTTTTCATTTATAAGGTTTTAAAATATATTTCTTAGTTCATTACACCACCTTATCTGAATTATACTTAATTTAAACACTGTAGATTCTGGTTATCCTCACACACATGCATCCTGCAAGTATGAGTTGAATAGAAAAAACATATAGGAATAAAGGCTCTCATTTGAACTGGGTCTTATTCATAATGGCATTGCACCTTATGGGGCCCTATTTTAAATGGCACATCTTCTGTTTTTACCTGTATTAAATACTGATGTGGCCTTATCTCCCACAGACCTTGATCTTTTCAAGGCTCTGTTTTGGCTTATTTATTTTATAAAGCACAGTTGCCTGCAGACTGCAACTGTGAACTTTAATTTTCTAGTTCTATGTATCAGAAGACTAGTCTGCCATCGGGTGAATTACTTAGCCTTTCTTTGTTTCCATTTTTTCTACTTGACCAAGTAAGACTCTTTATTTTCTTTTTGGAGATTTTTTCCCCCCAAAGAATCCACTAAATAATGTATAAGATTTGAAGGTGGTGTTTTTTAGGGGGACTAAGGCAGAGTATTTCCTTTGAGAAGGGAAAATGGCCCATTGTTGAAGCATAGGATGAGATTATGATTCTAATTTATTCTCTTTGAACCTAATGGCAAATGCTTCTAACTGTAAGATGTGCTTCTTAGGGTACTTCCTCTAACCAAATCTTTCCTCCACAAGGCTGGCATCTTTTGGACTACTAAAGAGAACCCATCTCCCAGTAGATCCAAGGCTTAATTTTATAATTTGGGAGAAAGCAACCATCAGTTAAAGTCCCTGGTCAGAGTATCATAGCTAACTTACCCTAATAGCTGGTCTCCAGACATTCGATGATTCTTCCTGGTAAAGCCAACTTGCTCCTTTAATTTATTTAGCATTAATGACTGGCTCTAATTTGGATCCTCCTGTGTTTTTAATGGGAAAATTTTGTCTCTGCCCGATTGTATGTTAATTCATCCATTAGTTTATTCAACAGACATTTATTGACCACCTCCTTTGTGCTAGGCTTTGTGTTGAGGATACCAAGATAAATAAGATTCCAAAGTGCTTTTGAGAGAAATATTCATGTGTGTGTATATAGTGTATATAAGCAACATATGTGTTGCTATGGTATAGATAGATAGATAGCAGCATTAATAGAAGCAGTACTATTGTGAAAGTAGGAACAGCATGTTAAGAGTATTAAGGATCATTAATAAGTTAGGGAGTCTGCTGTAAAACCGCTAGAATTACTCTTCAAAATTGGAGTGGTATATCATTTAATTCAACCAAGGGAAAGTGACTTTCCCAAGGCCACACAGCTAGATAGTGAAAGAATGTGGATCACAACCCAGCCTTTTGACTTTTGAATTTTTCTCTTTTGCTGCACCCAAATGCCTCACTAAAAACAAGTGGCCTTCATGGCATGTTACCTACACTGTAGTCAAAAGTGAGGACGTAAAATTTGCAATTTAATGATGATAATTTTCTGTTCTATCATTTGCATTTCTAATTGTTAACAAACAAGCAGCATTTTTACTTATAAGCTACAATATGACCTAATAGAGAAAGTAGGAACTATAGGTTTAGATTTCCTACTTTTCTTTTCTCTCTTCATTGAGAAACCTTCCTTGAGCACTTAGCCACAGTGTGCAGATACCTTGACCTCTGTTTTCACACTTAGTCCCTTTACCAGCCTTGTGAGGTCTGTGTATTCTCATTTTACAGACTAAGACACTGGGACACGGATTAATGACCCACCCAGAGTCATGCGCTTGTTAGCCTCGCCAGGTCCTACTCGTCCTTTAGCTATCACCTCTGCTGCTCCCTGGTGGATACGCACAGCACCACAGCACTCTCCTTCCAGGCGCTCATCACAGAGGGGATTTTACACTTACTTTTACGATTATTGGATCATGTTTCTTGCACTTGGCAGTGAGCCCCATGAGTGCAAGACAGTGTGTGCTTGGATCACCTTTGTATCCTCATTACATAAAGAGGGCATTCACATTTTGGTGAGTGACTGATTGTATGAGGTAAAGCTGGGATTCAAACTCAGCTCTCTATTACAAATAATTGATATAAAGTTCTCTGAGATACACCTTGAAAAGGCATCATGGACAGATAAAACATCAAAAATTACCTTCCATCCCTGTCTATATGATGGCTAGGGTGAGAGGTCATGAGCAGTGGCTGGGAGAATTAACTGGTTGGTGTAATCCATCCTTCTGTCCATCCTTTGGTTCTGCTGAGTCTTTCACTGGTATGGGTGGGGGGCCATGGGTGACTCATCACTGATAGGCTTGGGGCCTGGAGGGCATGGCTGGTTAGGGGTAGAAAGAGGAAGTGGTGTCATGTCTGAGACTGATTGTGGAGCCATGATGTGGTCATGAACTAGTTCCCAGTTTCACTGTGATCCTTCAACAAAGACACAACCAAAATCAATGTAGGGGAAAGTGTGGCACACAAAGGAAAAAGGCAGAGATGTCCTTTGTATATCTTGTGTTAACTTTGAAACGCCTAGCCTTTTTGTTTTGTTTTACCAAATACATGTGTATTTTTAATTCCTCTGAAATGTGTTTTTTTCTTAGGCAAAGATTTTTAGGAGGCCTGTAGTCATTCATAAAACAGGATCTGTTCAAATGACCTTTTACCATTCTTATTTGCACCGCCAAATCAGTGGATTCTTGATACCTGGACTTGCAAATTTTCTGGACATTTGGCTAAAGCCACGTGGCTCTCGTGGAGCAGTTGCATGTCTTAGAAGTGAAAGGGCCCAGGAGGCGGGAGGTGAAGCTGGCAGGGCTTATGCAGTGCCTCTTCCCGGCTCTCTGCAGACCTCCCCTGCTTATCTCACACTTTGCTGGACCCTGCACAACAGGGTGGGTAAAGGATAGAATTGCAAGCAGAAATTGTATTTGCTTTTGTTTAGTGAAGCCAAAAGCCTTAATATTATTTTATGAACTCAATGTAAATGACAACTGACATGAGAAAGAGAGATTTTAAGAGCACCATAAGCATCTTTACAATCATGGGTGGAGCCAATCCAGGAAATGTGTATACACTCTTTTTTAAGTTATATATAATCAGTGTTTCTACCCTCAAAAAAAAAGACCAGAACCAATTAGAAGAAGAAAAATACTAACTTGATGCACAAAATTATACTAATGCCAAATACTGGAGTAAAAAACATTTAGCATTTGTCTGACAAGACCCCAACCGACCATTATATTTCTATGGATGGTTGAACACTCTCAAGATCTTGTACTCTATATTTCATTTAAAAACTTGCCCCTTGAAGTGTAAAATGACTTTGATTTTGAATAAAATTTAACATTCAAATTTATAGCCACTTTGAAAACTGGGCATTCATTTTTATCATATGAACCTGAACAGATTCTTAACTACAACAGTCTTTTGCACATGGAGAATCTGGATTTCAAAAATAAATAAATAAATAAAACAACTTCCCATGTAGGTTTTTCCACATTTTTCAGATGCTTTCATAGCAGCCATCATTTATGGGAAATAGTATTAAAATCCTGCCATGTTGTAGTTTAAATTTAAATTCAGTGCTTCCCAGAAGAGATTTTAGTGTATCCTATAAAGGCACTAAAAGGTTTGTTTTTGTTTTTGCTTTTGTGAAGATTTTTTTTGTTCTTTTGAAAGTCTAGTTCTAATGAGAGAGAGAGAGAGAGATGTTGGTTCCTTCCAGTGATCTTTGTGTGTTAACAACCTGCACAAGGAACACCTCTCTTGCTTGTTCTAACGGGCAAAAGTCATCTTTGTTTGCATGAAAGAAAAGGTCTGATTGAACTAGGGTGAGCCTTTCATTTAAGGAAGAGTTAAAATCTGGGGGTGTTTTTAATGTTTTAATCTCTGTTTAAGAGGTTTCTGTTACGAGAAGAAAATTGATAACATTTTTACCTCAGCACACTGCCAGCAAACTGGCTTTGCTCTAATCCCACATTTATAGTGATTTATATTCTCCGTGGCAATGTGCTGTAACCTCAGAGTGATACCACTGTGGTGTAGATGGACTGCATTCCAAATGCTGGGATCACATACATAATGTTTTTACTTTTAAATAATATTCAGACACCAGAATAAATACCATATGTGCACTGATGCTGGTTACAATGGAACCTTGTCATTTCTTGTGAGGGAGAACATTCTTTGTTTCTGATTCCTATTTAAAACAAGTATGCAAAAGATAAATATGTACATTGACAGCATTTTGAGAAGGCTTTGGTAATTACACAGCTGAGGATATAGCTACAATTCCTTAAGATATAGCATTTAAAACTAAAGATATTGCTGTGTGTTGCCACCATTCCTCATATGACATATATGAAGGCAAGGATTGTTATCGGACATTCCCAGTGTAGCTTTTATATTTTATATCTACAGTGTGTTGTAGTTAAAGGACATCTGTTGAAGAAAAATTACCTCCATGCACACTGCTCATAGGAACAGTGAGACTAACATGCTGATGACATTGTACCAGGGAGAGTAACATATTCAATAATGGGAAAGGATGGCTTGATTGGAAAGCCATAATTCAGTGTGCAGCCTACTGTCATCTGATGTCACAAAACCAGAATTTAGATGGCCTAATATCATCAAAATACAGATAATCAACCTCTCCAGATCCATTTTCCCCCCACATGATATTGAAGATTTAACAGTTTCATAAAGTTTAGAAATACCAACTAAGTCATGCATTTTTAGATTTTCATTTTTATCCATCTTGGTTGGAATTCTAATCCACTTAAACTTATTTTTTATATAGACATGGTAGAGTATCATTCATATTTATACATCTGTAACAAGCTCCAACAAGTCAATCCACATTTGTTTCTTGGGAAAGCATTTCAATCCAGGTTTGCATTGTTACCGTTGGTTTAGCTACATTGAATTAGTGCCTATAACATTTTAATAATGTTTTGTAGATGAGGAAGCCCTGGGCACTGGTCTATGATGGCTTCCCTACCCCTCTGCACCTTGATCCCCACCCAGTTTTGTGAGGTTTGCCTGGAACATATAGTGTGAGATTAATGTGTGAGTAATATATCACAATTTATCTCTGACATTTTATCTGGCACATGGCTCAGTTGGGTAAATCTTGCCTCCTTTGTAGAAGTGTCCTCTGTTATAAAACTGCTCAGAAGTCCCTTTTTGAAGTTGGGAAGTTATGAGACAAATATTGAACATATTGAACATATCTAACATACTGTCTCTCCTTTTCAGCTTTTCGGATGATCCCTTATCCCTTGGAAAAGGGGCACCTATTTTATCCTTATCCAATCTGTACAGAAACAGCAGACCGAGAGCTGCTTCCATGTAAGTCTCACCTTTCTTCAGCCAGGAAGGGCGGTGTGACGAAAGGTGGGGATGGGAAGAGATGGGAATGATCAATGTTTATACTGTTCCTGGTCTTTTATTACTTTTCTCCCAACCCTGTCCTTGTTTGATAGCACATGTATTAAAGTGAATTATGTGAGTGGGTTTGGCCTCCTATTCCTCCAAGCCTCTCCAAATTCATCAGAGGGAAAGATGCCAAAGGACTGACGTTTAGATGAAGAAGCCTCATGTACTGATTGGCCCAACTACAGAGACCCCTGGTTTGGGGCTGCCGTTCGCTGGGCTGCTCCATCGCGAGGGCTCAGCGAGGGCTCTCCGGCCGGTCAGATGTGGGCTGCACAGACTGGAGCTTGAAGAAGAAGTGCTGACTTGAGAGGGAGCTGCAGCTGAGTCAGGGATGGGAGGGCAGCACCAGGATGCTGGCACCACCGGCAGAGGCGGAGTCGTGGGCCGGGCCGTGAGCTCTTGGCCAGAGGGGTTTCCCATGAGCGTCTTGTGGCTCGCACTAGGGAGTTGGTGTAACATGTGCCGAGCACACGTGCAGCCTCAGCACTGTGTAAAAGCTCACAAAGGAAAACCCTGCCCTCGAGTGCCTTACAAGTTAGCAGGCTAATAGCCCATACCACATGTGGAAAATATTATTTTGGTTTACTGTAATATAACATTGTTTTGACAATTCAGGCTAAATAGTTATTATCAAATCATACTGTGTACAAGGATCATGTCCAGGCTCTTTATGTGGCCCTGACTTAGGACATATTTTTCTCCCTCAGATAATAAGCTCCAAATTTTGGCTATACTCTGTTTGCTGTCCTTTCTCCTACCCGCCCCCCCCCCATACAGTTTCTTTCACCAGGCCCAGTTATATCAATATCTCATAGCTGTCACGTATATACATACTTTGTCCAGAGGAATAGTGTAACTTTGGAGCCCTGGGTGCATAGTAAATTTTCAAATGCCAGCATTATTGAACCAGTCATAAATCTCCAACATGATGGGATCTGGGTGCAAAACTAAATTGCTGTCATCAGATTGAGGTAGCAGGAGGTACCTGACTTGTTTCCTTGCCAGCCAGACCCAATGTGAGCTTCGTTACTTAGGGAACTGGGAGCTCTCAGTGATATGTTCCTCATTGTCCAAGTTTTATCATGAAAAAGGGTCTGGTGCCCCACACAACATTATATTTGATTTCAGAAATCCCTGTAGTGGGCCCTTAGTTTACCTTTTGACTCCTCCTTCAGGGAAATCCTTGTTAAAGTTTCAATTTTCTGGTAATAAAGGCAGTTTTCTGAAAAGTACGATGTTTTTAAATGTTTTAATTATGTCCAATTAAGTTTCCATGGGGATAGTTTAGTTACTAGAACAAGATTACAGTCCTTAAAAGAAACTTTATAGGGATAATCTTTATGAGCCTCAAATAGAAAATTATGGCTCACATTTATTTAATTGAATCCAGTGGTCCAAGTCTGATCTCCCTTCCAAATATTTTTGGGGTTGGGTGTTGAGGGTGAGGATGTGACGAGGATGAGTTTTAAATGCTACCCATATTTTGCACATTCAAAGTGTAACCATTGCCACATTGGGCCCCGAGCGCAACACAGTTCCGCCCTGTGTTTGAATCCTAGCAGGCTGACTTACCTGGGTTCAGGTGGACTTGCTTGCATGTGCTTTGTCCCTCCCTGATCCTGCCTACCCTCAGTTTTCAGCAGTGTGGCTTGCTGTTTAGGGCTCTGAGTACCAAGAGCCAAATGGTAGAGGAAAGCTGAACCTGCCTTCAGCTCTCGTATTTCCTGAGGAAAATGGCCCGCTCGGATCCTTTGGTTAGAGTGGAGATACTGCTCACCTGCAATGTTGCAGCCTCTCAGGGCCCAGCAGTGGTTCTTTCTCCTCTGTGCAGGCCAGCCCTACCTTCCTTGGCCATACCTCGTCAGCCCAGATAGTCACAGGCCGCCGCAGAAAAAGCAGAAAGAAGGAGCCCATTCTCTTGGCCTTTGTACCATAGCTCTTTGGTTTTCCCCAAACCCAGTGTTTGAAGTGTAATAGTTATGAAAGGCACTCTAAAGAGCACTAGCTTTTTTTTTCCTTCGGTGATTGTTGGAAGTATATTTATCAAGTGTCTCTTACAATTGCAGATAACCCCAGCCACCTTGCCCTTCACCTCTTGTGAGTTAAATAGGCCAGCATGTGAGGTCGTCACGGAATGTCTCTGTCAGGGCAGTGCCCTCCACTGACATGCTTTGAGTGGGCCAGGAAAAAATACAAGATAAACTAATATCGCCTCATTATAACTTAAAAAATACAGGAGAGTGAAATGTAGATGGGGGATTTTTTTTCTTTTAGTATACTTGATTTTGGGTTTTCCAGTTTTTGTACAATAAACATGTGCTTTATAATTTGAATAAAGTTTTGTTTATCTGTGTTTGCTTTTGAGAAATGAAAACGATACACTGGGCACAGATGGTGCTACTATCCCTGCCCACTTACGTGTGACTTCCCCAGATTAGCCCCATCGTGCCTCCAGCTGAGTGGCAAAGGTTGGACATGGACTTGAGCAGCCAAAGGCCAGGTCAGCTATTGGCTGTGGCATGTCAAGTGTCCTTCCTTTTTCATTTCCAACAGGCTTCAGACTCTTTCCAAAGCTCTGAAGAATCAGTCCCACCTTATATAAATTCCCTGTGAATGCATTTCACTCCAGCCCTAATATTTCCCATTTGGTCTTCTCCGCAGCTTTCCATGAAGTCTCAGTTTACCCAAAGAAGGAGCTTCCCTTCTTTATTCTCTTCACTGCTGGACTGTGCTCCTTCACAGCCATGCTGGCGCTTCTCACACACCAGTTCCCGGAGCTCATGGGGGTCTTCGCAAAAGCTGTGAGTGTTTGCCCAGAGGGAGGCCTCAGGGAGTGGGTGGGAACGCGGGGGAAGTCACATGAGAGAAAAAGGGGACTGTCGCGCAGAAATGGATATGAGCCTGTAGAGATCTTTGCTCACTGTTTAATTTTCATTATCGTCAGTGGAACCAGAAGGTTAAGGGCCAAATGAGAGAGTGTAGGTTGTCAATGCATGTCTTGCCTCATTTTACAAAACAGATTCTCAGCAGTCTCCAAAAATGCATGAGTCCAAAAGGATGAAAAAATTTAGGGTATCCTAGAAAATAAAAAATGTATGGGAAATTATTCAGTTTTGTATAAATTGAATGACATTATTTCTAATCTTTAGATATATAGGTCTTTCCTTCATGAAGGATAAGATTTACATTTTAAAGATGATTTAAATAATTTTTTTAATGGCTACAAACCCTTGGCTTGTTTAGGGAATGAACTGAGAGGGTGTGAAAGGCTTGTAGTATTAAGAAGTAAACTGACGTGACATTTAGAAATATGGAAATCCATTAAGAATCTTTAAGGAGGTTGTGGAGAGGAGCTTTAATATAATAAGAAAAGGCATCTGCATTGACAGCCAAGAACCATTGTTTGAAACTAACCATTTCAACCTGCACATGCAGTGAGGATAAGCTTACTGATTTTGCCACAGATGAGTTTCAAACAGAAGGAATAAGGAAAAGAGTATCAGTTGTTTCCTGGAACTCCATCCAGATTTCAAGGAAAGTAGAATTAGAAAGGATGATTTCTAACTTGGCTGGGTTGATTTAATCCCTTTCCAGATGATTGACATTTTCTACTCGACAGAGTTAAGGGACTGGAATTGCAAGAGTATTTTCATGCGCATTGAAGATGAACTGGAAATCCCACCGGCACCTCAATCTCAACATTTCCCAAACTGAACTCATCACCCTTCTTCCCCTACCACCAAAACTGCTCCTCCTCCTGTATTCCTGACATCCACCAGTGGCCCTGCCATCCACCCGGTTACTCAAGCCAGAAACCCGGCAGCCCTCCCAAACTCTTCCCTCTCTCACTCTCGCATCTCATCTGTCTTGGCCTTCGCAGTCTGTTGGTTCTAACCTACTAAGCAACTAGGCGTTCAGTATGTGTGATGCCCCTCTTCTCCCCCTCCTCCTTTCCTCACAGCATCTCTCTTAGTCTAGGTCCTTGCTAGGTCCTTCCTAGGTCCTCGTTCTTTCTTGCCTGGACTCCTGCAGTAGTCTGACTAGTCTCCTTGCTTTAAGTCTGATTCTCCACCAATCTTTCTTTCCAAATTGCACATCTGAGCATGACACTTCCCTGCTTGAATTTCTTCAGTGGTTTCCCATCCACTTCAGGACCCAGTCCCAGTGGTTAGCATGGCATCCAGTGTCCTTCATGGTCTGTCCCTTGCTTGCCTCTTCAGCCTCGTCTCTCCCAACTCTTGCACAGGCACTGCTCTTCAGCCAGAGTGACTCGCAGAGGCACAGACTCTCGTACACCTTGCTGCCTTTGCACGTGCTGTTTGCCCTGCGTGGAATGCCCTTCACCATCGCCACCCCACTTGCCCACTCTACTAACACCTCTCCATTCTTTTATACTCAGCTTTCTTTAAATGTCGCCTAAGCTGAGTTAGGTGTCTCTCCTCTATGATCCTACAGTATTCCATGAATATCTATATTATCACATTTATTGTACTGTATGATAATTGTTGAAAACTTGTCTGTCCCTGTTTAGAATGTGAGCTCCTTGAGGGCAGGACTGTGTCTTCCTCATCTCTGTATCCCCAAAGCTTTGCACAGTGCCTTGCACATAGTAGGTTTTCAATAAATGATTATTAAATAAATAAATGGTAGTGGTCTCTGCAGAAAGAATCAATGTAAACATCAGATAGAGCTTAGCATTTCTTCTCTTCTTTTATACTTACAATCATAGTCTCTTAGAGTTGAAAGGGACCTTAAGCAAATTGCCTTTAACAGTGACTCTGAATGGAGACAGACTCATCTTGAATACTTCTGGCCGTGGGAGCTTACCTGTTTAACATCAAAGCCCATTTCATTATTGGATCACTCAGAACTCTTCCTGATGCTACTAAAATCTGCATCCCTTTAATTCCCACTTATTATTCCTATTCTACACGCTGAGAGTGCACCAAACAGGTCTACTCCTCTTGCAAATTTTTAGGACAGCTCATTTATTCATGGCCACCTCTAACTGACTACCTTCTCTTTCCTCCAGGCACAATATCTTAAATTTCCTGAAGTCTTTTGTACATGACATGATGTCTAAACCTAGTATCACCCAAGTTGCCACCATGGATGTTCCTTAGCTTGTGGACCTACATTGTTATTATTTTCTTCTACTCTCTAGCCAACCTCTGTGTAAAAGTAGTTGCCCAAACTGAGCAGATTAGAGTATAACTTGGTAAAATTTAAAATAAGGATATATTTATAACATTAGACAATTACTGTTCCCCCTTTTGTTTCTCTCTTAAATATTGTTTACAGCATATTATAAAAGTACGTCATTGGTTAAGTCTTCTTCATTCAACTTACTGATAGCACTTAGTGTGAGTTTAGGATCAGGACAGAGATTCTCAGCCTCTAGTATGTATGTTCACCTGGCCACACCACCAGAAGTTCAGAATCCTGAGTACTAACACCCAGGAATCTGTATTAACAAAGACCCCAGCTGATCCTGATGGGGATTGAGGACATACTTCCGGAAAGGACACTGGTCTCAAGAAAGCTGGACCTTGGAGAAGCCATATGCAGCTGCATGATGTGCTGTCCGAGCTGTTCAGGGAATGCTTTCCTGTACCTTGGAGTCATCAAGGGAACTTAAAAATTACTGGTGCCTGACCCTTCCCCAGGGACGGTCTGGGGTCCGCATGGACATCCGGGTCGTCAAGCTCCCCCTGGTGACTCAGGTGTGCAGCCAGGGCAGAGAACCACTGCTCTTAATGAAAGGACTGATTGCCTGAGACTGCATTGCCCAGCAAGTGGATTGGGAGGTGCAGGGGACTGTAAGGAGAACGTGACTTTCTCTAGGAAAGGCTGTATGGCTGTCCATTCCCTTCGCTAGTACCTTTCCGAGCATTCATTATGGATGGTAGATAAGAGGCCACTTTTTTCACGTAATGTTTCCAAATGATTGAATAAAATATAAATCTGTCTTTAGGGTCCCCATATTTTATACTCTACCAAAGTGTGGTAGTTTGGTCAGCTACCCATGATTTTCAAATGTAGTTTAGATGAGTTTGCTTTGAAACCTCTGTGTGGAGAATGACAGTTATCTTGCTCTTCATTAAGATCTAGCAGTTTCCACAGACTTCATTGGGAAGGAAGATGGATGGCCTGAATGGAACAAGCCCGTCTAGTCTCTCCTCCCCACCCGCATCTTCCCCTGGTCACCTCATCGGGCCCCTCCCCAGCACCCCTAGGGTTATCGCAACTGCCCTACAGGCTGCCTGTGGCCATTTGCAGCTTGTGAAAGTGGTTTTCTCAGCCCTCTCCTGAGATAATGTCCCTGGGATAATGACTTTTAGTAGATGCAGAGAGATTGCACTGTCACCCCCAGGCTTGGGAACTGTCCAGTGTGTTTACAGTAGATTTGCTGCCAGTAAGGAAGCGCAGGGGGAAGTGAGAACCACTGGCAAACAGTAAAAGGAGAGGCTTCCACTGGCTTTTCCCCTCTAATCTAATCTACCTCAGTGATTTAGAACTAACTCTTCCTAGAATGTTTGGTTACCAAGATAAGGTTGTGCATATAAATAAGTTATCCTTGCAAAGGCCGCTCACAGAATGTGGGAAGGTCAGCATTCTGACCCTGGCTTTCGAGGGCCCTGTCTTCCCTCCCCTGGTCCCCCTCCTTCCCTGAGACGAGCCCCTGACTCCTGACTCTCATCTTCGCTTATAGGCCCTGACCTCTTTGAAGTCTGATATCGATTGCAGCGCAGTGTCACTTGTCTGTTGCAGTAGGCACCTGGAACCTATTCAGATAAGCAGAGGCGCAGAGGATGTGAGCGAAGCACGGGAGCCGTGACCGGCTCCTAAGTGATGGTGTTTCAGGAAAAGGAGGAGCAGGCAATTGAAGTGTCACTTTCTCTTTTTTTATTAGTTCAGTTGCTTTTTCTCATCACAAGATACCGGTTGAATCATGGGACATTTCGGTTAAAAATGTGACCGTGCCTCTCTGCCCTCTGGACAGAAGTTTTAGACATTGAGAGAGATGGGCTGTCGCAGGGTTGCCTGGCGTTGCTCATTCAGACTGAACTGTTCAGGCAGTAAATGTCCCCCTAGGCCTAGAAGTGAAACTGCTGTTTCTCTCTGTGCATTGGTTAGATCTCTGACCAAAAAGTATTAACTAATTTCAAACATGTAAAGAAACACGACTGAGCACCCCAAGCAAGGCATGCTCCTCTAGACTTTGTTATAATCCCTCCTGATGAAAGCCGCTGGCCTTTCTTTATCTGGCGACTAAGTGAAAGGGCTCAGCGGCCTCAGTGGCCTTAGATGCCTCACTACACCATCTGTTTCTTCTTCGTGGGCGTGGGATCAGGGAGGAGGAGGGGAAGCGGCTGAGGTAGAAGGTGTCTTAGCAATGAAGGGGTTCTGCGAGAGAAAACCTTAGGCTCTCTCTCGGATAAAGTTCAAGGGAGTCTTTCAGCTCTCTCGTGGACAGAACATTCTGAGAGAAAGAAGTTAATCATCACATACATTGGAGGCATTGTAGCTTAATTCTCTAGTAGAACCTCATTGAGAAGGGCAGGTTAATCCAGGAAAGAAGGGACTGCTGTATCTTTCTGTGCGGTATGGCAAGAAAGGGCATCTGTGGACATCAGATGGGGTGAAGCTCTCTGGATTTTCAGAGGTCTCGCTTTTGTGCTTTTTGTCCAAGTCGGGTCAAAACAAAGCAAATAGACAAACAAAAACAGCCTTTACTTTTAGCCACCCTTGTAACATCATCTCCATTCATTCTGCAACTCAAGTTGAGGCTGCCTGATGGCCCCATGTTTTAGTGCATGGAATGGCCCAGAGGGTGACTTTGAGTGATGCCTTCCATCCTAACCACACTGGCTCCTGCTAACATTTGCCAGTTCCTCGCCATTCAGTCACAAGTCCAGCAGTTGTACATCTGTTCTTGGCCAAGTCTTTAGGATGTGATGATTTCGCCACGAACGCCACCTTGTTTACTGAGGCCCGTATTCCAGCGCATGTCAGAACCTCTGGTTCTTCCAGACACTTGAGCACATAGCTCCTTTTCACAGAGCTGAGTATTCTAGCAGATGCTGTGGTCCGTGGAGCCTTGGTGGTCTCTGATTACATATATGTATGTGTTTGTGTGTATGTATATGTATACATGTATAATTATGTATATATACATATATAATTATGTATATATATTTAATTTTATAATGTTATCGTGTTGGATTAATGCAATCAGTAGACTTGCTCCATATTATCCTCTCATAACCGGGATTTTACAAATGCTTTCAGAGGCAGCTTGGGCAGTAATTGCTCATTCGTGGGCCCAGCGTCTCCCATGGTGCCTCTAGCTGCGCTCATGAGTGCAGGTCTAAACTGCAAAGGGGAGGCCGTCGCTCCTGTAGGGTAAACATCCCAAGTAGTTCTGTGTATTCAACAAAGAATAATCTCAGAAGGTAACCAGAAACTGCTGTGTATCTAACACCCAATTAAATAAAGAACCATCTCACCTTTGCTCCAGCACTCATGTCGCTGCCTGTTTCTTCACTGCAAATCCAGCCTGGCACTCGAGGCCTCCTGGTACCCTCTAGCCACTTGGAACTCCCCTCTACCTATCCCAGCTAAGCGGAACTATGTACCGTCTTCTGGTCACCTGTTTGCTTTCTCATTTCTGTTCCAGCTGCTTATTGAGCCTGGAGGGCCCACCCTGCTCATATTTTCTTTTCTTACCAACCTTACCCCATCTCTGTCTTTTGATATTCTGACCACCCATCCATTTCACTTGCCTCATTTTAAAAAGTTTTCCCTGATCCTTTCAACAGAGTGGATTCTCTCCCTTTTCTCAGCCCTCCTGGTGCTTTGTGTGGCCCGTCTGGTTGTGACTTTGCTCTGTCCTGATCTGAGTGGCTCCTTCCCCACTGAATTTTGAGCTTCCTGACAGTGGATTTTTTTACCTAGATTCCTTTATATCTCTCTCACCCAGCACTTAAGTGCTTTACTGAGTAATGTATTTAATTGATGTAAAAGACAAATTGGAGGATTCTAAGTCTTATGTTATCTTGAGTTTCCATTATAAGAATCTCACACTTGATAATCCAGCTGTAATGTGTTACAGTCCTTCCCAGTATGTGTTCTACTGGTCCTTTAAAAAAAAGAAAAGAAAAGAAAGATTCTGAGGTCAGTGCATTTGGGAAACTTGCCCACCATACCTCTTCTTGAAGACCCATAGAGGAGCCTGTTTTAACTTAATTAAATATACTGTCTCCTAAACTTGTTCCCTGCCCTGAATATTTACTTGTACCCTCACTTCCCACTTTGATGGGAAAGTCTTGGTGGTGTAGACAGGGCTGTGCAATGGACAAAGGATTAGGACAAAGGACTCCATAGTACAAGAACCAGTGCTTGTACCCAAGCGAGATGATACCTTGGTTCTGAACAGAGACAGAGGACAAGGAAATCATCCAAACACCCCTGTCTTCCCTGACTGGGTTAGAGCCCCTCTTCTGCCAGATGCTGGTGGTTTATGGTATGAAGCTGATTCTCCCCAAGAACACAATCAGAATGGATTTGGGATTATGTTAAATGGATCTCAGGCAAAGCACTGCTTTCGTAAAAGGCACAGCTAATGAGCATTACTCTGTACGTGAAAAGCAGAAAGGAATTTAGCAACCAGATGAAAGGGCTCCCAAAGCCCCACTCAGAGCATCCCCTCTGCAACAAGGACATGTCCCCAGGAATAGCCAGTTTGCTGCTCTCACCCAGGGTCCCAGGATGCATGCTGCTAAGCAGGTCGTTCAGAAATAAGCAGAGGCTGCACAGGTGTTTGGGTGACAAAGGGATCCCAAAGCAATTCACACACAACAAACTTGACTTTTTAAAATTGCCTTTTCCATTTAAAGTGAGTTCTACACTCAGCAAGATGGGCAGCTGGTCTAAGTTATCACCATTTTTCAACTCTTCTGCCCACTTGTCCCCAGACCGTCATCTCTGTTTGATGACACTGGTCATCTGCACGGGCAGGCAGCACGCCCCAAAGACTGGTGGGAAGACCTCGGGACTGTGGGCCGGCTGTCAGGGCAGCAAGGGGCTGTCAGCAGACACTCGTGCCCCTTATCTGGAGCCAGGGGCTGGAATGCAGTTCGACCATCAGCCGATGTCTCCTGTAAACATAAAGATGAAATGGAAGCCTTTGGAGACTTTCATAATGCAGACTTAAGATGCAAGCCTGAGTCAGAGAGTTTGTTTTATGATCTTGAATGTTCTCTCTCCTGACTTCTGTTGTCTTTGTGGTTTCTTTGCAGTTCCTCAGCACGTTGTTTGCCCCCTTAAACTTTGTTATGGAGAAAGTGGAGAGTGTCCTCCCGTCCAGCCTGTGGCACCAGCTGACACGGATCTGAGGGAAGCCCCATCCCCCACTCACCTCGCCCATCCGGCTGCCACCGTCTCCTCTGTGCCAACTCCTTGTGGACCGCAAGAAAGCATGACTTTGAAAAAGGGAAGCCATTCCGAGATTTTAAAATGTTCATGGACTGTCTGTTCCATATTAAAAGCTGTTTTTGTTGTACAAAATTCATTGATGTTCAGTTCTATTTTATTTTGCCTTCAAAAAAGAAGAAAAAAATCAAAAATAAACTTTTGTGTATTGCAGCAATCAGTTGTGTCTTCCTATGTCTTCCAACCCTGAATGTATCGATGTCCCAAACAAACCTGTGGGTTTACATTGAATTTCACAGGGACCCAGGTCTGCCGAATGCCACGCCGTGGTTCTCTGTGCTGTTGGATGCATATCAGAGCAGACCCCGGGAACTCCTTGTCGTTGGAGGCTTGGAAAGTAGAATCTCTTTGGTTCAAAAGTACCATCATTTTCAACCCCAAACTGAATGTCCTTCTAGGCCAAATGCACACACAAAAACCTTCCAAAATGAGTGACCAAAAACATGAATGAAACCAAATGTATGTGCCATAGCAGATTGTTCCAGTTCAGAGACTTGACAACACTGTAGTTCCAGGAATCATTTTGTTTTTGTTGTTTGAAAACTTCCTGTTAGAAGAAAACTTCTGATGAGAAGCTACAGACCCAACAGTCTGTTGTAGAACTTGACCATTTTACCAACATCACCATTTTTTAAATGTTTTTTCATAGGGTACTTTTTTTTTAAATCATGTTTGCATTCCTGATGCTTCAACGTGAGCATTCTTTGAGTATTTTAGTGAAATGAACCGAAATGATCATTTGTCCTCCCCACCTTTAAAAGCCTTCCACATGATTCATACCTTGCTTAGCATCTGGCTTCACTTAAGCAAGAGAAGGAAAATAAATAAACTTGAATCCTCTATCTGAAAAGTACCACTATTTAAAATCTCAATCCAGTGCTTGAAAAAAAGGACTGTCCTTAACATAGTTTGTTTTTCCCTTTTATTTAGAATCTTAAATCTCTCCCCGCCAGTGTTAGAATAGGCAGTATTCTAGGAAAACACGAGGCCATATCTACTTTCCAGACGGAACTTCCTGCTGGCTCCTGGTCTTCCTCCAAGAGCAAAGTCAGGTGGGCAGGTGACTTTTAGGCACAAATGCCTAGAAACATTTTGCTTTTGGCAAACTTTTGTTTGGACCTACTCTGCACAAACCCCTGCTGGGGATACACAGCTGGTTCCTGCTCTTAAGGAAATTATCTAGGAAGTTGAGCTCCATCTACATGCCAGTGGTGCTGCTCTTGGTGGCAGGGGCCATGTCTGCCTTGTTGACCTCTTTACCTCTTCCCTAAACATAACTCATGACATAGAACGGAGGCTCAAATGATTCCTTCAATGAATTGGTGCAATGCACAATAGGTACAAATAGACTTTGATCCATGTTCAGAGGAGAGAGATTGGTTCCAGCTGAGAAGGACCAGGGACGGCTTAGAATTGTAATTTTGAGTTGGAGTAAGAAGTTATTAACACGATTCTTTGATTTAATAGATGAGGAAACCAAAGTCCAAAGATATTTTTACCTGCCCAAGGAGAGACTCCAGACTGTAATAAGCTGTGAATGAAAGATTTAAGAGCTGGTAGGCAATGAAAAGTGGAAATGGCCTGAAGAAGTTGTTAGAAACCCCAAGTTGCAGAAAATGCAGCAAAGAAATGGAAGATAAGGATGTAAAAATATCTAGTGAATTTAATGATTAGGACTTTAGAGCAGTTTCATGGATGAGGTGAAGCAGAAGTTAGGCTTCAATGGGTAGGAGGAGTATGTGGGAGAGATGACGGATGTAGATGTAGTGAGGGCAGTAGAGACTGTTGACAGCAATGAGTCCATGGGCCAAGAGGGGATACTCAGGCGAGGAGGGAGACATCTCTGGACTTGAGGGAGGCAAATGATGGGAACTTACTAGAACTTTCATCTTACAACCCAGGGTCAAGACCCCTCCTCAACTACTATGTTTAACTCGTGAGCACATCAAGGACTCACCATGCAGTTCTCACCTCCCCAGGCCTGGATGCCAGAGACTTTGCTGTCTTCCCAGCTCCTGCCTGCTTCACTAACCCCAGGACAAGCATGAAGGCTCTTTTAGTTTTAAGGGTTTTATGCAAATCTCTGCAGAGGCAGAGCCAGAGCAACCCAAATATCACAGCAGATATTTTTAAGATGATCATTTGTACACGGTTTTTACACTTTTTACCCAAGGTCCACAGTTCCTGATTTCTGACTGAGATGGCAGCTGGAGTCCAAAGTGTATTCTGCCTCCTGTTTTTATTTCTGTGTGAGGCTGCATCAAAATCCATTCAGATGGGCTTTCCTTTTTAAAGTCCCTTCCTTCCAGCAGGACAATAAGCATCCCTCAGCCTTGATTTATATGTGTGTGTTAGTATACAAATGCAAACATTTGAAATTAAATGTCAGCAAATTGCATCTAGCAATGGATACAGGAAATAATGCAATATGACCAAACGGAATCATCTGTAGGTTTATGTGGTTTTCTTTAACTTCCTTTATCTGTACTTATCAGTATCAAAGTCGTTCTGGCTTTATAAAAGATTGGGAAGCTTTCCATGTTTTTAATATGGCCCAGAATAATTAAACAGTGAATTATCTGCTCTTAAAGTATTAAACTCAGACATGAAACATCTGATTTTAGGACTT